CCACAAGTGTGCTCTTAGAATGTCCAATTCGGTACTTGTACATATGTTGATTCTTTCTTGATTTCTGTCTTTACTTTGCCAGGAACCCAGGACAGCGTTCAAGAGTTCGTAAGCTCCAGTACATTGCTGAACTTGAGAGGAGGGTATCCATGTTGCAGGTAGAGTTTCTATTTTAGTTTGTGCGTTTTCTAAAACCCAATCGGTCTGGTCTCCAGTCTCCACCCTGTTGGCTGTTCTGTCTGAATCATACAGTTATATGTACACAATGCTGAATATATCTAAGTTATCGGTGTTACAACATAGTTAGATGCACCATGTGTTGAACATAATACAAACACCTTTGCACATTGTATGACAAAACCCAGTAATAACCAATAGCAATCTCGTTTTTGCAGGCGGTGGAAGCGGATATATCAGTGAGAGTGGCTTCACTTCTTCAAACCCGCGCAACGCTGTCCTTGGAGAATAGCCAGTTGAAACAGCAGATGGCGATACTAAAGCAGGACAAGCTCATAAGAGAAGGTAAATAAAAACAACACATTCAAGAAAGTGTTTAAATCGCAGCTTGAGATCGATCCACCGATTCTCATACCGAATCATTTTCTGCAGGCGAATATCAGTTACTGAAGAAGGAAGCTCAGAGATTGAAATCCGGATTGGGAGACTTTGGGAGAAATAACAACAATAACAGATTGGTCAGGTCATATTCTGCTGGTTCAAATACAGCACCAAGGACAGCTTCGTCACACTTGGACTGGAAGTTGCTGGATTTGACCAAACTCAATCTCAACTAAAGGCAAGAACCCACTCCACAAGAAGAATAAGTAGCTCAAGGAGTTAATAACAGTTCTATGTCTTTCTTGGATTTGTATAAATATGAGATAGGAGTATTAAAGTATTCCACTTTCGGGTCGGGTCGAAATGGTAGTCTTTGTCTTTAGCTAAATGGTCTAATGTTGGGATTCTAATGTTGTAGCTCATTGTGGTGGATTTGAATGAGTAGTTTAAGAGAGGAATACATAAGCCACCTTTGGTTTAGTAGCACAATCTATATTACATTAAGAAGAGAATTATAACATTTTACATTAGCAAACATTTTACATCAGTTTTTGTTATCAATCAGTAACAGATGGTTTTTAACAAAATCTAGTAAATTATATCAATCAATACAATAAAATCTTTAAGAGTCTCTCTACACATCAACCATTTTGTGTTATAAAAAGTTAGACACATCAGCATATTTTCAAACCAATCAAAACATTTTAATCATACACTTTTTCTTCAATTTTTTACACATCAGATATTTCACCTAATTTAGTTTATGAATAAAATAATAAAATATTCAGATTCAAATATCCAAAATTATTTTTGTTGCTATCATTAACATCATCATATTCATTAAATCTGGATGGTGACTCAACGACGATATTAACAAAAAACAGTAGATTTTATGTATAATTTTGACCACCGAAGTTAATATAATAATAAGATGAAATCGACGTACCCTATATAATTGTCTGAATTGGTAAAAATAGAATTGGCTGAAATACCTCAAGAAACCAGTTTGTTGTACTCGTCACTGTCTTGACAAGCATATCTCTAGGTTGGATCTTGTGATGTGAAATAACAATAGTGTAATAAACAAATTTTCCTTATATTTTTCTTATGTTTTGCTTTTTTTTTTCTGTTTCTTTCTAATGTTTTTCAAAAAGATTAACAATAACAATTAGGTAATGATAGAATTGTATTAGAAGATAATTTATCATCAAAATCTTTATAAAACTAAATTTGATATTTTGAAAAATGTTTGATATAATTATATTTGTAAAATCAAAATTAATATAATTTAGAGTCAAAAAATGAGAGAAAAGAAAAA